CTTCATAGCACCTTTAAGCCTATGCATGCTTCTTTGCTCTATCATTTTCCCTTACCGACTTTGGAGCAAGCCATTACCGAACTCTTGTCAGAAGAAACTCATTTTAGGATGCTCAAAACTTGAATTTTGTTCTTGTTACGCCATTATCACGGGATTTTTCATCTTCACAGCCTCCTAGCTCATGCATTTACTATCGCAACCGTGGCCTATCTGCCAATCATTCTTTACTTCAGTGCCATATTTGTGAATGCTTGACTTGCCACAAGACTGCTTCTAGTCATCTCCAACGCAATTGTCCTCGAGTTACCCCTCATTCTTTGTAACAACCCGGACTTGTGATTAGTCAATAAACCGTGATTAAGAATGCCTACTGAATAATTAAGAAGAAATTTTGAGTTAATTACATGTGTTTTATGTTAATTGTTCTTTATCTGTCTGACGTAGGAATATCTGTCTGAATTTCTGATTCAATATGCGAATTAAAGGCTTTATCAGCATCTGAACACAAAATTGACTAGGTCTATGTGTTATTTAGAATTTTTAGAATTTTATGGTGAGTTTAACTAAAATTCGATTCAGAATCAAATAATTAGAATAAATTAATTAGAACTAATTACACATAATCAGCCTAATGTTAATCAAGCCTATATAAAACTAATGTGAGTACTAGGACACCATACACACACTTTCTTCATCAATTTGACCTCAAAAATGTAGAGAGAGAGAGAGAGAGAGAGAGCGAGCGCGAAAGAGAAAGACGTTGAGATCAAACAAGAGGGAATTGAGAAAGACTTGGTGAGATTAGAAGGAATTTGGAAGAATTGGTTTGGAAACTCAAGGGATTTGTTATGTAGAGCCCACTTGAAGACTTAAAGTAGGTAATTCAACTCTTAAACTATGAATTTGAGTCACTTAGTGCAAGAAATCAAGAGAATTAGAAAAATGAAGCTAGGATCGAAGAATTTAAACTCAATACATGCATCATGCATGCATGCAAATCTCATTTCAATTTGAAGTTGTTGTCAAAAAATTCTCACATGCATGTTCTTATCTTGGCTATGTTTTAAGAATTCAACATGTTTTTGCGCTAAACATCTCAATTGATCATGTTTTGGAAGAAAAGAACTCACATCACTTCATGCATGTTCTATAAGTTGAATTTCAAGTTGAGTTTTGCATAATTGTCAATGCTTTTGGGCTTGATTTTACGAAATGGTTTTCAAGTCATGATATGTTATGAGTTTCTACATGTTTTCCTAAGTTTTAGGCCCAAAGAATGTGTTTTGAAGCTTTGAATTTGAGTTTTGCATCTTGAACAGTAATTTGAAAATTCCAGAATTTGGTCGCACCGCTTGAGCGACCAAAGCTTCGCTTGAGCGTAAAATTCGAGCTCTCAAAAGTTTTGCAAAGATTGATGGTTGGCTCGAGCGACCGAAAGACTGCTCGAGTGACCGCCCTTTATTTTTAGCCATGGCTCGATCGACCAAAAGTTGCCTCGAACATAAAATGATAGCTCCTAGTACTTTTACAGACTTTGCAGACCGTTCGAGCGACCTGCTCTATTTTCAGAAATTTGACTAAGTGTTTCAAAGTATATTTTTACATCCTAATTGCATCTAAAGCATTCCTAGGCCATGTTTAATTTACAATAATAAGGATAAGAGTTAGAAAAACACACTAAGGAAGAAGAATGATAAGTTAAACACCTTTGAGACGTGTGTCCAATGTGTATCTGTCACGTGTTTATGTAGGTCACGTGTTATCGCCTTCTTGATCAATTTGTTTTGTTCATATGATCTGTTCTGCTACTGGAGCGAGCTGTGAGTAACAACTCCGTAAAGCTATGTTTAATTATAAGTATTTTCTGACTGAAATAATATGATTAATTTTTTGAAATGCTATTTTATGAATCATGAATGAATGTCCATTTTTCTGAAATGTATTTATGGCATCCTTAGTTCACATGGCTCTCTCCCGAGGTAACAATACCGTGGCTTATATTCATGTGGCCCTCGCCTGGGGATAACAATATTGTGGTCAATATGTACATAGCCCTTGCCCGAGGGTAACAATACCGTAGTCTATGTTCATGTGGCCCTTATCCGGAGGTAATAATACCAAGATCTATGTTCACGTGGCCCTCGTCTTGGGGTAACAATACCATGGCTATTTGTGTACAAGGATATTAACCTTTATGGTCGTCGATACCGACTATGCACGTGGGTCTTATAACCAATCTGATTTGATAGCTAATGGATGTACTACATATAACTGTTTATGAATTTTGTATAAGTATGTGAATCTGAATCTATTTCTGGTATGAACTCTAATTTCTGAATCTGTTTTGGACATCATTCATAAACCTTTTACCCTATTGTTTATTCACTGGGCTATAGCTCACTGTATTATTTATGTATGTAGGTGATTAGGCGCGGGACCATGCCTGAGTTGCTAGCCTAGAGTTCTGTTTTGTCAAGCCAACCACCGTGCCTCCCGAGAAGGTTCCCAAGTATTTCAAAGTTTAGGTCAAGTACACGTGATGTCTACCTTTATCATTTCTTCTTTTCTTTTGTTAAACAAGTTTTTGTACACTCTGTATATTGGGCTAAGTCTCATTTTGTTTAATCTGATTATGGTGGTGACGATGGACTGACATATATGTATGATGTCACTTTTGTGAATATAAGTTTTAAATTTTTATGTCCCATATAAGTCTGCACAGCTCTATGGACATTGTATTTTGTATATATGCTTCCGCTAGCCCCTAATTATTTGATTATTGTTAAGAGGCCTTCGGTAATCTACAGATTACTGGCCGATTATGATGTTAAATCTATAAGGGCGGGTTTGGGTCGTGACATTCTTCATCTAGGAAAGGGTCTTCATGTTTTGGGCATCAGTCCAAATCTGCTCATGGTTTCCATCCCGCTGCTGCTGCATCATAGGGGTCTTGCTTTCACCACTCTACTGATCCTATTGCTTCATCATTTTCTATGGATAATGTTTGGTCCATTATCCAGCAGGTGTTTGCCAAATCTGATACTCTTCCTTCTCCTACTCTTTCAGTCACATCGGGTAATCTTTCATGGTATTTTGAGTCCGCCTACTGTAATCATATGACCTCTGATTCTATTATATTTTATTATATATCATCATCCTCTTTTGTTTCTCCTATACATACTGTTGATGGTTCTCATATGTCTGGTAGTCACATTGGTCAAATTTTTACTTCCACTGTATCTCTTTTTAATGTTTATCACATTCTTACTCTTAAATTAAACCTTATCTCTATTGGTTAATTGTGTGAACTTGGTTTCACTATCACCTTTTTTGCTAATGGTTGTTTGGTGCAGGACCCTTAGAAGAAACAAATCTTTGGGATAGGCTGTAGGCATGGACGTTTGTTCGAGTTTCTTCATCTTCGCATTCCACCTACATCATCCACTGCTACTTCTGTTGCCTCTACTTCTATGTCTTATTTTCAACTTTCGCATTGTCGTTTAGGACATGTCTTTTTTAGTTGTTTAAAAACTTTGGTTTCTAGTGGTCGGTTAGGTCATGTTAGTTCTGAAAATGTTGATTGTTTACCTTGTCAAATTGCTAAACAGCTTGCATTACCTTTTAATAAAAGTAATTCTATTTCTACTATCCCGTTTGTTTTTGTGCATTCAGATATTTGGGAACTCTCCCCTACCCCGATTATGGGGGGTCTGAGTATTTTGTGATTTTTGTTGATGCTTTTTCTCGTTATACTTGGATATTTCCTCTCAAAAATCTGTCTAAACTTAAACAAATTTATTATGATTTCTCTACTATGGTCCACACTTAGTTTTCTCGAACTATTAAAATCTTTCGTTCTGATAACGCTACGGAATACTTGGATTTTGATCTTTTTTTCCTTTCTTTGGGCACTTGGTACCTAATCTCATCGTTCTTGTGTAGGCATGTCCCAACAAAATGGTCACGCTGAAAGAAAGCATCATCATATTCTAGTCACTACTCGGGCCCTTCTCATCTCCTCTTCATGTCCTGAAAAGTTTTGGGAGGAAGCTGCTTTTACTATTGTCTACACCATAAATCGTGTGCGAACTCCTCTCATAGCCAATCTCTGCCCTTATGAACGTCTATATGGTTCTCCTCCTACATACACCATTCTTAAAGTTTTTGGCTCTGCTTGTTTTGTTCTCGTTCAACCGCATGAACACACTAAATTAGAATCTCGTTCTCGCCTTTGCTGTTTTCTAGGGTATGGTATAGAACATAAAGGGTATCGCTGTTGGGATCCAGTCTCCAAACATCTTCGTATTTCTCATCGTGTGGTTTTCTGGGAACACAAAATGTTCTTTACTTTGTGTAAGTTTCACCTATCATAGTTCACCCATTTCCCTTTTTACTGATCTTTCTATAGACTTGTTGTCTCCTGAATTTGATGCAGATTCCGATTCAATGCCTTCATAGCTGCCTATACCTACCGTCAATCATGAGGTTTCTGCATCTGACGATGGTCTTATGCCTCTTCTATTTCCTCCTATGGAGTCTTCTCCATCATCTCTTGTGGAGCTTTCTCCATCCCCACCACCATCTCCTCCAGCAGATTGTTATTTGACTAAGGTAAAATAACCTTGTGTTCTTTTTCTGTGATTATATTATTGGTTTCACTGTTTTTTTCTCTCATGAACCTACTTCCTATCTTGAGGCTTGTTTTAACCCTTTTTGGCAATAAGCTTTGACTGACAAACTGCAGGCTTTGGATAAAACTCATACCTGGGACGTGGTTGATCTTCCTCATTGACAAGACTGCTGTTAGTTGTAAATGGATTTATAAAATCAAAACTCATTCTGATGGTTCCATTGAACATTACAAAGCCCGTCTTGTTATCCAGGAATTCACTCAAGAATATGGGATTGACTATGAGGAAACATTTGTTCCTGTTGCTTGTCTTATTTTAGTTCACAGCTTATTAGCAATTGCTGCTGCTCGCCACTAGAGTTTTTATTGGATGGATGTCAAGAACGCCAATTTAAATAGTGATCTCATTGAGGAAGTTTATATGCAACCTCCTCTTGGTTCTTCTGTTTTATCCATCAAAGTTTGCAAACTTTGTCATGCTTTGTATGGTTTGAAATAAGCTCCTCGTGCCTGGTTTGCCAAGTTCAGTTCTACCATTCATGAATTTGGTTTCTCCTTCAGTGCTTATGATTCTACCTTGTTTATATGTCATACAGAGCGTGGTATTATTCTTCTTCTTCTCTATATGGATGATATTATTATCACTGGAGATGACACATTGGGTATCTCTAGTCTCAAATAGGTCCTCAGTCACTAGTTTGAGATGAAATGTTTAGGTTTGCTTAGCTACTTCCTCAGCTTGGAAATTTCTCACAATCCTTCTAGTTACTTTCTCACCCAGGCCAAGTATATCTTTGATCTCTTGACTCATGTTAGTCTTACCAATTGCAAGACTGCTACTACTCCAGTTGATCCTCAGACTCGTCTCACACCTCTTGATGGTCACCTATTATCTGATGCACTTTATATTGTTAGCTAGTTGGCAGTCTTGTCTATCTCACGGTTACTTGTCCAGACATTGCCTATGCTATTCACATTGCCAGTCAGCTCATGGTTGTTCCTCGCTCTTCGCACTATGGTGCTCTAATTCGTATTTTGAGCTATCTAAAAGGCACTATGTTTCATGGTCTTCATTACTCAGCACACTCTTCTCTACGGTTACATGTATTTTTTGATACAGATTGGGCAGGGGAATCCTACTGACTGCTGCTTTACTATAGGGTTCTGTTTTTTCTTAGGTGATTCTCTCATTGCATGGTATAGAAAGAAGCAAACTCTTGTTGCTCGTTTTAGTAAGTATCGTGCTCTTGCGGATACTACTCAAGAGCTTGTGTGACTTTGTTGGCTTCTTACTAATATAAGAATTCCCCATTCTGCTGCCATTAACCTCTATTGTGACAATTAGAGTGCTATTCAGATTGTACATAATGATGTCTTCCATGATCGCACTAAGCATATTGAGATTGATTGTCACTTGGCAACACGTTACTAGCAACACTGTTCGTCTTATCTTTGTTACCTGTATCGATCAGATAGCTAACATCTTCACCAAGGGTCATCCTCCTGGATGATTTTCTGATTTACTTTCCAAGCTCAACTTGATACCTGCATTATCACCTTGAGCTTGAAGTGGGTGTTAAATATAGTATATTCTCTGTATATACCTTATCTTCTCTCCTATATAAAGGAGTGTGTATCTATTCATTATTAAATTGAATACAAGAGTTTCTCTTTTCTCTTCTCTTTCTACTCTCATAATAAGATTGAGCACTTAAAACTCTCTTAGCTCTTCTCACTAAAAACCCATTTTTGCTTGTATAATATATAGATAGATAGATAGATTAGTCCCATTCATTTTGGTAAGGTGGATTTAATATATTCATTGACATGTGGGTTTACGATTACACTCTTCGTTTTATTGTGATTGTCTATTATTTCTAATGTGCTAAAAAAGTAAATTACATAATATATATTTTTGAGAGATTTAACATATCGCAGTCACATTAATCCCTCAAGCAATCACATTAAATTGATGTTACTCATATTCAACTGATGTTTACCAACAATCACATTAAACAAATGTTACCCATATTCAAATTAGCAAAACCAAATTGATGCTACCCACAATCTAACTACCCATATATACACCAAAATAACAAAATCACACTATTTCTTCACTAACCACATTAGATTGATGTTAACAACATTCAAAAAGAACAAAACTACCTTGCCTGAAATGTATTAATAATCTTATAAAATAAATAATTCAAATCATCAAAATAAGACTCATAAGAGTATCTCCAACGTTTACTCTTTTTTTTCCATTAAATTTGAGTAAAAATTTTATCTGATATTGCGCATTCCAATAGTGCAATATGTGATTTTATCAAACCATCGGTCGACCAACTAATGTAAAATTTCTAAAATTCTGAAATAAATTTTGCAAGGAGGTGGTCGACCAGAAGAATAATCGGTCGGTCGTTCGGTGATCATACATTGTCTGTCAGCCACTATGAAGTTAACAACTATCTACAGTAATTTGGTGAAAGGTTTTATCATTCTCAATTTAATGAAAATTTTGAGATATTTTCAATTTATTACTAATTTGATATTAACGCTAGAGCAATAATTTTGTAAATTTTTTTATTAAATTTAAATTTAATAAAATAAAAGATAAAGCGTTGAAGAACCTCGAAGAAAACTCACAAGTATTCAAATTCCCTCAAATTAAAACTTGAATTTGAAAAAAAAAAAAAATCATGTTTAGAAAGCAAATACGCCTTTGGATTCGTTTAATTTTTCTATTTATAATTAAAATATTTGACTCAAACATAATTTAGAGGTTAGTTTAGAAGCAAACACAAACCTCTATTAGGGGTGGGTGCGGGTCGATTGCGACCACAGAACCTTCAATCCACATCCGTCCGCCAATTCGGCGGATGTGGATTGAGCAGATTGGCGGTTTGGCGGATGGATGCGAATCGGTTTGGCGGTTTAAAATTTTATAAATTTTTAACATAATTCAACTTGTACACTTCCTCAAAAAAAAAAAGAAAAAAAAGAAGAAAGTATTACAGTCAATGACTTAAAAAAATATTACAATCACTGCATGCCTCATCCAAATCAACAAAGTTTAAAACTTTAGAATATCATAATCACAACGTGCCTCATCCACATAAAGTATTACAATCTGTGATTCTTAAAATATAAAAACAATTCAAACCACCAAAATCATAAACAAAGCAGTAGTAGAGATTATATGTCTCTGTATTGTTACATCTATATCTATTTTTGAAAAAAACTAACCAGCATATATCATATTTTTTATTTATTATTTTTAGAGATAGATTTAAAAATAAAAAATATAGATAAATAATACGTTTATTTTTTTCAATTCAAAAAAAATATTCAAGTTGAATTTTTTGTTTCAACAGAATATTTAAACTCTTTTTTAATTAAAAACACAAACAGAATATTTAAACAAACTGAAAACAGAAAGTCTTTTAAATTACTAGGAGTGTTCGCGATTTAACGGTTCAATTACGATCAAAGAAATCTCAAATCTGTCATCTATCCGCCAAATTGACAAATTAAAAAAAATTAATGTGTAACTATTCACTTATCATCTCACATTTATCTAAAATTCGACGAATCAATTCAATTTAATCGATTTTGACAAATCCGTATAGCTGCTGCTCACTCCTGCCCTCCATCATCTACCTACTACCTCGTTCCCACTTACCGATGGCGCAGCCAAAATGGCTGCTACCCCCATTCCCCATCTATAAATTAAGCATAAATTAACACTTCAAAAACTCAGATGCATCTCTCTCCTCTCATAACAGCAATGGCACTCTTCTTCAAAGCCATCTCAAGATCCACCTCCAAATCCCTCCTCTCCAGCCTCCGATGTCTGAGCAACGTCCCTGAAAACACCGTCTACGGCGGCCCAAAGCCCCAAAACCCTAACCAAAGAGTCACTCTCACTCACCTCAGGCAGAAACACCGCAAAGGCGAACTCATCACCATGGTCACCGCCTACGACTACCCTTCCGCGGTCCACCTCGACACCGCCGGAATCGATATCTGCCTCGTCGGCGACTCCGCCTCCATGGTTGTCCACGGCCACGACACCACCCTTCCGATCTCTCTCGACGAAATGCTCGTCCACTGTCGCGCCGTCTCTCGCGGCGCTAAAAGGCCGTTGCTTGTTGGGGACCTCCCTTTTGGTACTTACGAGTCGAGCACTCATCAGGTAATGGTTTGTTCGATTCGATTCGGTTGTTTGGTTGCTGAGAAAATGGAGGAATGGAAAAAGACGAGAAATTTGAATTTTGAATTTTGTCTTTTTATGTTTTCGTTTTAATTTGAATTTTACAATTGCCATAGCTAAGCTACTGTTTGATTTGATTTTGAAGGACTAAAAAACAAAGAACTTGAAAGCGAAATTGACACCCAATTGAAATGAAAGGACCATTGAAATGGTTGAGAGCAAGAAATGTAGTAGGATTTTTGCAAGCAATGTCTAAGTAAAAAACTAAGGTTGAGTTTGGATGACAAGAATCTTGAGGGGAATGAGATGATTCCAGCATTTGGAATCTATTGGAAATAAATACGAGAGTGATTCCTGGTTAACTATTTTAGTACCAATAATGAGATTCTCATTCCCCTCAAGATTTTGTTCACTTCTCTCTCCAAGATCCAAAGATCCAAACAAAACCTAAGTGTGTTTGTCATATCACCACTACCAATTTATCGTTATTAATTTGTACAAGTGCCAATCAAAATCATTGGTTTGCATTTGTTGTTTTCCTACATTTTCTTGAAAACTATATGAATATAGTTGAACTCTTTGGAGGAGAGGGCATTTTGAGATGTTGAGAATGGGCTTGAATGAGTTATGGCTGGTGATGTTGCAGTTTTACTTGTGAGCAGGCAGTTGATACCGCAGTTAGGGTTCTAAAGGAAGGGGGAATGGATGCGATCAAATTGGAAGGTGGGGCACCTTCAAGAATCAATGCAGCTAAAGCTATTGTGGAGGCTGGAATTGCAGTGATAGGACATGTGGGGCTTACTCCTCAAGCCATCAGTGTTCTCGGAGGTTTTAGGCCTCAAGGAAAGAATATTGCTAGTGCTGTCAAGGTCAAAATCTATCTCTACTTACTATGCATACATGACATAAATACTTCATAATTTCTGTGGATCAAAAAAACATAAGTACTTCATAATTTCATATATAATCAAATATGTTCATACGCAAATCTGCATAATTTATTTTAGTGTCATTATGCTAAATTGGCCTGGTTTCTGCAGGTTGTCGAGACTGCCCTGGCTTTGCAGGAAGCCGGGTGCTTTTCTGTTGTTCTGGAATGTGTGCCTGCACCTGTTGCTGCTGCTGCAACATCTGCTCTTCGAATCCCTACCATTGGTATTGGGGCAGGGCCTTTCTGTAGTGGCCAGGTTAATTGATTCTTTAGTTCTCTCTACTACTAACAATGAATTAGACTTAACTGGCTTGTGTTGTGTATAATCTTTTTGCTTTCATTTATACATATGATTTGCTGCTTGATCTTGTATTTTGCTTTTCAAGTACTAAAATGGTCATTTTAATGATATCATTTGTTCATATATTGAGTTTACTCATGCAATAAACTTTGAATTTGCTTTGTGAACTATCTCAAATTTCCATTGTATGAGGTCTTGTGAGAGTACAGGAGTGTTTCAGATGCAAAATGTATGTCTGCGTGCTTTAGAAACCATATTACAAAATACAAGAAGAAACTTTGTTCAAATGGTTCACTGTGGCATGTCATGAGAGCCACAACAGTCTAATAAACCTTTTATGTGCAAACAATTGTCTTAAAACTTGTGGCAGATTAAATGAAAATTTACTTTCTCGCAGCAATATGTGTAGATTTTTGGAATTTTCAAAATTACAATAATTGGAGTCTACGTGCATTTATAATTTATGATTCCACCAAATAGAGCTTGGGAAATGGCCCCACCATAGGCATTCAATAAAATTGAGGGCATATAAGCTTAGGCATTTACTGGTTTATGGTTCACAAGCCAAACATTCTCAGTTTCTAGAAATGTTTTGAAAAGGACTTCCTAACCTCATCTTCACATATCTCCTTGTTCCTTTCTATCCTAAGAAATTGAGCATCTCTAAGGCTGAACCTGAAGAAAGTTATTGGAAGACCAGCGTGTAATTGGACTTAACTTATACTTTCAACGTCTGGACCATTTTCTGGTTTTATTAGCAGTTTTAATTGTTTAGAAAGCTCGAAAGTAGCATATGCCTTGTACTTTCTGATAGAAGTTTGGAGGGGCACTTGGCATTTGGAGAAGTATGTGGGTATCTTATTGGGCTTAGAACTCATTTTAGCTGTTGTAAGAACCTAGATGGAATTTCTTCTGTCTATTGCTCTCGTACACGCACTTGAGTTACCTTTGATATGATTCCGGAACACACATCACACGGTATATGTTGACACTAGAAAAGTTTGGCACTTCTTTGTTTGTTTATGTATGTTCTGGTGGAAAAGCTCATTTAAGACATGATTAAACAACCATATAAAAGAAATGTTATGTCGATAAAATTGTTTACAATAGAGGTAAGAATTACTGGAAAATGATAGGTGGACAATAAAAATGGAAAATTCTTTATAAGCTGTGTTTGAAGGGCAGTTGTGATCTGTTAATAATTTTTCCAGATATTGATCCATTGATAGAATTCATTTATTTTTTATTTTGTTTCGAGGACAGAACCTCTATGTATTTCACTACTTTCTGCTTATTCTCATCTGTAATAGTATTCATCCGATTATTAAATTGCAATTAAAAGACTACGCTTTATGTCTCTTATTTTATTAATAATAAACTTACACCCATGTGTCATGCATGCTTTTTTTCTTCTTATTTCACATGAATTGAATTTGTGTTATTGGCAGCTCGGGACACTACTAAAAATCTCTTTCTCGTGCAGGTGTTAGTTTACCATGATCTACTTGGAATGATGCAACACCCACATCATGCCAAGGTCAATTCCATTGTTGCCACTCTTGCTTAACAATCTCATGTTCTTCATATGCTATATGTCCCACTAAAACAATAACTGCTTTATCTTTTGCAGGTAACCCCCAAATTCTGCAAGCAGTATGGGCAAGTTGGAGATGTCATTAACAAGGCTCTTTCAGAGTACAAGGAAGAAGTAACAAATGGTTCATTCCCAGGCCCTGCCCACAGCCCGTATAAAATTAATGCCGCCGATGTTGTTGGTTTTTTAAATGAGCTACAAAAGTTGGGTTTGGACAAGGCCGCATCAGCAGCTGCTACAGCGGCTGACAAGATTGAGAATGCTGAATCACCTGATGTAGGGAGCCCAACAAGCAATTGATTTATAGGACCAGATCACCAAGTGTAGCAGTTGACATCCTCCAAATTTTCATTTCGTGATCAGGAAAAAAGAGCCAAATAACAGTATTGTAGTGCCAGTTTTGTAGCCAAAGCTAACACCATATTGAGGTCTTCCATCTCTGTTCAGCAACAAAGGTCTTAAGTTCCAAAGGGTGTCTTGCGACCTTTGGAAGAACAAAAATGTTGCTGCTGATGTTGATGTTTTCTATTATTATTATTATTATTATTTTCACATTTACTTCTTCTTTTTTTCTTCTCTTTTTTTTTTTTAAAAAAAAATTAAATTATATTCGACATGGCCTAGGGAAATCATTCTGAACCGAGAAACACCAGCTATACTTCAAATAATTTGGGAAATGGCTTCCATTTGATGATGATTACTTTCCTTCTATTACTTAATTTTTTTTAATCAATAATTTCAGAAGATGAAATCAAATAAGGTTTTAGAATCCGATGATATTCCTATTAAAGTTTGGAAGTGCTTGGGTAAAAATGGATTGCTTAGTTGACTAGGTTGTTTAGCAAAATTTTATTGATTAGGAACATGCCAAATGAGTGGAAGAAGAGTATTTTAGTGTCAATATATAAGAATAAAAAGAGAAGTTCAGAATTGCAACGACTATAGAGGAATCAAACTAATGTGTCATATAATGAAAGTGTTGGAGAGGGTGATGGAATGTCGATTGCGAGATATAATAGAGGTGCCAGAAAATGAATTTGGGTTTATGCCTGGCAGGTCAACAATGGAAGTGATTTATCTTTTGAGGAGAGTAATAGAAGAGTGTAGAGAAAAGAAAATAGGCATTCATATGATGTTTATCGACCTTGAGAAAGCATGTGATAGAGTGTCCCGAAATATAATATGGTGGATGTTAGAGAAGAAATCGGTGACAAAAGGTTACATTGATATGATTAGGGACATGTATGAAGGGGTGGTGACCACTATTAAATCGCATGTTGGAGAGACAAATGAATTTCCTATCACTGTTGGGTTACACCAAGGATTTACCTTAAGCCCTTATCTTTTTGCTTTAGTTATGGATGAGTTGATTAGAAATATTCAGGATTATGTGTCATGGTGTATGTTTTTTGTAGATGATATCGTGATAGTGGATGAGACTAGAGAAAAAGTTAACACAAAGTTGGAGATTTGGAGAAAAACTCTTGAATCGAAAGGATTCTGGATAAGCAGAACTAAAACAGAGTACATGGAGTATAAATTTAGTAACAGTAACAATGAAAGTAGAGGAAAAGTGAAGATTGAGAACTAAAAACTGCCTAAGAGTGAACATTTTCGTTATTTATGGTCGATTATCACAACAGCGAGGGAGATTGATGCGGATGTGGCCCATAGGATTAAAACAAGATGGTGTAAGTGGAGAAGTGCATCTGAGGTACCGTGCGATAAACAAATACCCACTAGACTAAAAGGTAAGTTTTATAGAATGGCTATTAGACCAACAATGTTGTATGTGACGGAGTGTTAGGCAACCAAGAAACAACATGTAGACAAGATGAGTGTGGTTGAGATGAGGATGCTAAGGTGGACGTGTGGCAAGACTAGACAAGACAGAATTAGAAATGAGTGTATTCAAGAATGGGTAGGAGTAGCACCAATAGAAGACAAGTTCAGAGAGAATCGATTGAGATGGTTTGGTCATATTCAACGGAGACCAACAGAGGCAGTAGTGAAGAGATGCGATGCTGTAGTGGTAAAAGAGAGTGTTAAGGGACGAGGTAGGCCTAGATTAACGTTGGCTAATGTTGTAAATAGAGATATGGATCTACTTAATTTGACTAACGAAATGGCCTTTGATAGGGTCGCGTGAAGAAGAATGATTCATGTAGCAAACCCCAATTGATGGGACTCAAAGCTTGGTTTGGTTTGGTTTGGTAATAATCCCAGAACGATTGATCAGCTAAATTCATTTAAGTTTTTTTATGGAAGAATCATCCAAATATAAAATAATTGCTGAAACTAAGAAGTCAATGATTAAACACTCTCTTTTCTCTTCTTTTTTTCTTTCTTTTATGTGCCAAAAAAATATATAATTGCTAGAACTTTATTCAGTGATAATGACAAGAGGACATTGTAAGTTATTATATACTAGTGTGTTTACATTCAAGATCATTATGATATTCTCAATATTATCATAAAATACATCTATGCATAATTACAATACAACAAACTATAAACAGAAGGGAAAGAAATATCAAAAAAATTACGCTCGATGTGTTTTTATTGAATAATGCTTCACATTTTTATTATATTTTTATGGGTGAAACACTAATAGATCTCAATTTGTGAACTTGTGCATTAGTTAGTCCTATATATATATTTTTTTTTTGTTAAACCAAAAGGTCCTAAAACAATCAGATTGACACATTTGTCCTATTCTATGCACGTTTTTATGTATTTAATGGAGCGAATGTGGAATTTTATTGTGGGTGAATTTACATTTGTGGACATAAAGCACACTATAGGCCATTTTTTGGTTCCTTCTTTTTGATTGAATGTTTGATCTGCATATGGAAATATTATCAAGAAACATTCTCACATTAAAACATTTCCATGTTAGGGGATTGGAACACTAGATGTGATTAAGGGTTTTTTGAAGAGTTATTCCCACGAAGTCCACATTTGTGTTTTCGATTGAAACCCTAATTGGAGGAACCTCTTCACCAACGGACCACCTTCAACAATAACCGATCAATCTCCGCTGGTGAGGGTTTGACATCGTCGTCTCCAGAGACATACATACAGACACAGTGGACAGTGTTCGTCGTTATACACGCCGATTAAGCCATTGTCGTAATTTCAAACGTCGACAATGAAAGGCGAAGGTGTGTAATGTTTGACACTTTAATTGTTGATGTGTGCTACAATTTGTTACCCTTTATTTGTATTCGATTTTGGTTTTGTGGTTTAAGTCGTTGTTGCTGTTGGAAAAAATGATTTTTTTGGTAACTTTAATATGAAATTAAAGTAGGTCCCAACCATTGGTTGATGTGAGATTAAATGGGTTTAGATTCTTTGTAACAAGGTCTTTACACTATAAAAAGAATAACCAAAAACCATTAAGAATTGAATAAGAAATTGTCTCATAAAGATGGTCTCATGAATGAGATATTAAGAATTGTGTATAACTACCAATCTTACATTGATTGTCGAGGAAATCTTTGATGAATATTTAAACGTCAAGATTTTGATAAGGGGATGAGCTTTTTGGGGCATCCAAATTTTTTGAAGGAAGAGAGTTATAGATGCTTCAAGGATGGGCTTGGGCCAAGACTATAGTCTAAGTTGGTTATGGAACAATTGCCATACGCCCGCCCGGATGGGTCCGGGTCTGTGGATCTTAGATCTTGCGCTTAGGCTTGAGGCATGGGTTAGGTTTGGGCTGGGCCGGATTGTGGTCCACCAACCTAAACTTTTTGGGCCAAGTTTGTTGCAAATATACACACGGGTGTATACAGAATATAATTGTCCCATCAGTTTTGGTCCATTACTCCAGGAGTAATGGGCATTAGTTGCCAGCCCTCGAGGCTCCTTCTTTCTTCCCTATAGTGTATAAAAGGAGACCCATCTCCCTTGGTTTTGGGATAGAGTTTTTGTTTTCTAGATATACAGTCAGTTTGCTTCCTCTTATGATATATTCTTCCTATGTGAGAGAGTGCTGCCATTGTCTGTTCGCTAAAGCTAACAGAAGGTGCTTCTACATTAGTCGGTCTAAACCATCTTATCTTAGGAGACAGAAGTTGATGTTCCTCCAGCACCCACGGTAAGGCGGCTAATCTGTTTTAAGGACACTGTGGTATTACACAGAATTTGGTTTGATCCCTTGTTTTCAATATTTCGATTCCATATGTATTTCTGTTAATCATATTTCATGTCATGTAATTTAACTGATTCAATATGAATCTATTTGTTTTAGTTAATTCACAAATTTGTACAACAGTTGCATGTCCTAATTAGTTGATGAAATGTGTAATGTGAGATTTGAGATAAATTTAACATTATGATTTTGATATATGATGATTCACGTACATCGAATGTGTATGATTAGAGGTGATGTTCGTATGGTTTTAATGTTTTGGTGTTGTGTATTGAATGTTAATAGTCAAAGTTATCTATTAGTTTATGATGGAAAGGGTATGTTAATATTGTTGTGTATATTTATAGTCGGAATAATGCCCTGTTTGGATGTAGGATATGCATTCTGTTGTTGTGATAATTTATTCGTGTGGGTGTTGTTAACTTCATCCAGCCAATGTAGGCAATGGGGGTTTTGCGCCCCGACATTGGCTGTGCATGTTGGTTTTAGAGTAAGATTGGCGAATACGTGGTTATGTTTCCCGTGTGTTGTACCAATAAGTTCAATGTGAAAATATGTTGTGTACTAGTGTGTGTCTTGTAGTATGGTATTTCATTTCGTAATGTTTGTGATTTATCTTGGACACGCCATAATATGCTTAGCGTGTGATGTGGTATATTGTGATGTTTCCCAAAAAACAGCAAACTTGATTCCCACATTATAAGAGAACAACATCAGCAATTAAAACCCATCCACCGTATATTACTCTACAAAAATAAAAAACACAAAAATGAAAATGTAAAATGTTATCCTCTGAATTATTACACACAAATGAGTAAAAAAGAATCCACAAAATCATAACAACGGCAATTATGTAAACTCCACCCATGCCAAATCAAAGGAAAATATTCCTTACCAATTAAATAGGACCAAATGATTCATAAAAAAAAATACAAGACTAAATGGATCATTATTCCTTAATTTAGGATTTAATGGTAATTTCTCCTATTTTTATACTACATTTTATTTGCCAGATAATGTGACATATTCATAATCATTTATATAGTTACTATATTTTGTTTATCCCGTGATTAGAACATGCATTCGTTACACATACAACTAAGGATTATCAATCCAAATTTTTGTACTAATTTGCTTATCAAATTTTGTCAAAATCTTTAAAAAGGTTGATCAAAGATAAAAAAAAAAAAAAAAAAATAGTAAAATTTGACAAACAGGACCTTAAAAAAGCTCAAGATTGAAATAGACCTGTACGAGAACACAAGGCTCACCCAAAGTTGAAACTGAACCTCTAACGAGCGAATAACAATGAACACAACAACACTCTCAGCATCAAAACAATCAAATCTACTCCGTCTCGTAAAACCCAACTCCTCCACCACTCTCCCATCTCTCCTCCTCCGCCATCTCTCCTCCTCCGCCACCGACCCACCACCACCGGAACCACCACCACCACTTCCCAACTCCACACTCACAACCCAGATACTGAATCTCCTTCAAACCCACGAAATCGATTGGAACAACAACAACGATGAGCTTCGACAACTCCTCTTCTCCTCCACTGACTCTCCCCACTCCTTCTCTCTCTACAAAATCACCCGTAGTTTGGGCACCGCCACAAAAGCTCTCAATTTCTTCGAATTCTTTCGAACCCAATCGCCATCGCCACCAGACCCTTCTTCTCTCTCTTCTTCATTCCAGGCCATCTTCGAGCTCGCTAGTCAACAACCCAATCCACCCACCAAGCTCTCTGAACTTCTCACCATTTCGAAAGATCACAACATTCCTCTTAATTTCAGCTCCGCAACCCTCCTCATCCGATGCTTCGCCCGAGCCGGACTGGTCGAGAAATCGGTTCTTATCTTCAAAGAACTCGACCCAGATTTGAAAAACACACATATAAGTAATTTAATTGTGGATATTCTTTTGAGAGCTGGGCGGGTTGACGATGCATTCCAAGTGTTTGATGAAATGCTCAAGCCTGATTCGGAGTCTCCACCCAATGAAATTACTGTTAACATTGCTATGGCTGGGTTATTGTGGAGGGATAGGACTGGGAGGAGTGTGAGTGATGAGGAAATTATTGGGTTGGTTTCAAAATTCGGCGAATGTGGTGTTTTTCCTAGTGTGGTGAGGCTTACCCAATTAATCACCAAGCTTTGTAGGACTGGGAAGAGTGATCGTGCTTGGGATGTCATACATAATGTGATGAAATTGGGTGGTGATGTTCAAGCTCCGTCGTGTAATGCCCTTTTGGCAGGGTTGGGTAGACAACAGAATTTTCAGAAAATGAACAAACTTTTGGCGGAGATGAAGGAAAATGGTATTCAGCCTGACATTATAACGTTTGGAATTCTTGTTAATCATTTGTGTAAGTTTCGTAGGGTTGATGAGGCATTGGAGGTGTTTGAGAAGATGAGTGGAGAACGTGAAAGTGATGATGGGTTTTCGGTTAAACCTGATACAATTCTCTACAATACTCTGATTGATGGACTCTGCAAAGTGGGGAGGCAAGAACAGGGCTTGGGTTTGTTGGAGAAGATGAAATTGGAGCAAGGATGTGCACCTACTACTGCTACCTATAATTGTTTGATTGATGGGTTTTGCAAATCTGGTGAAATTGGGAGGGCACACGAGCTTTTTGATCAGATGAACAAGGAGGGAGTACCACCAAATGTGATTACCCTCAACACTTTGGTTGATGGAATGTGTAAGCACGGACGAATCAATAGTGCAATGGAGTTCTTTAATGAAATGCAAGGGAAAGGACTGAAAGGGAATGCTGTTACTTACACCGCCTTGATTAATGCTTTTTGCAATGCCAACAATATCGACAAGGCAATGCAATTGTTCAATGAAATGTCAAAAGCCGAATGTTCACCCGATGCAATCGTGTACTACACCTTGATATCGGGTCTGACTCAGGCTGGAAAATTGGATGATGCAAGCTTTGTTGCGACAGTTATGAAAAAAGCGGGTTTCTGTTTGGATATTATGAGCTACAATATTCTGATTGGTGGGTTTTGCAGTAAAAATAAATTGGATAAAGCTTATGAGATGCTAAAGGAGATGGAACAAGCTGGAGTGAAGCCCGATGGCATCACATACAACTCATTGATTTCATATTTCAGCAAAAATGGCGATTTCATGACTGCCCATAGAGTGATGAGGGAGATGATCAGTGACGGGCTTGTCCCCACTGTTGTTACTTGCGGGGCACTAATTCACGCTTATTGTTTGGTGGGAAAACTTGATGAAGCGATGAAAATCTTTAGGGACATGAATTCTGGTTTGAGGGTTCCTCCAAACACAGTCATATATAATATTCTGGTTGATGCTCTATGCAAGAATAGGAAAGTTGAAGTTGCTCTGTCCCTTATGGATGATATGAAAGATAAAGGGGTGAGACCAAATACCAACACATTCAATGCCATGTTAAAAGGTCTTAAGGAAATCAATTGGTTGGAGAAAGCATTCGAACTTATGGATCAGATGACTGAACATGCCTGTAATCCTGACTATATCACCATGGAAATTCTTATTGATTGGCTCCCTGCTGTCGGTGAAACAGAAAAATTAAGGAGTTTTGTGCAAGGATACGAAGTTTCAGCCTCGACTGCATAGAATGGTAAAATTATTTCAACGTTAGGAACATGTAGATGCTCTGTTCTATTGGCTAATTTTTCTGGGCTACATGGATGAATTTCACACTATGCATACAATTCTGTGGGCTTCATCTTCTCATACAGTGTAAGTCAAGCGTTACAATTACATTGTGATGCAAGTTCTTAAGTTATTTTCATCTGATTTTGTGATTTGCAAATTTAAAATTATGTGATAACTGCCAAGTTAAATTAAAATGATTTTTTTTTTTTTGGGTGTGACAATAACTAGTAATAGAGTTTACTGCAAGTTTGAGGTTCAGTTTCATCATTTTCTTGATCACTCTTTCATTTTGAGCCTTGTATGGTGCTTAATGATGTCAGATTTATTCACTGAAGTTGTGGGTGGCTCTATGTTTAAGGCCCTACAAAATGATTCTGCATTAGCCTACATTTACATAAATGTACATTAACAGGTTGTTTAATGAAAACTCTCCCTGGAAACAAGTTTTGTGAACTGTAATCCATGGATGAACTATGTTCCTGGAACATTGATCGTTCTGGTGTGTGAAATGGAAATGGAAATGCTAACGCTGTACATCAGATGAAATATGTTAGAGAAATTTTCTTTTAACAATTATCTAATGAAATAGTCTTAATTGTCGAATCATGTAAAAATATATTCTTATAAATTTTTTCAAGCTAAAACCCTGCTCTGACTAAATTGTAGTTCACTATGTGAATTTTTTTCCCCTCCCAAGGAAACCTAAGTAGACAATAGGGGAAAAAAAATTTGAGTGTTGTGGATCACTAAATTTACTATTTTAAAATGAAAAAGTGTTTTTTAACATGCATTCCAAAACATTAGTCCCTAGGATATTGATTGATTGTTTGGATTGGATAAAAGAAGTTGAGGATATATAACACGTAAAGATGTAATATATATAGGATATGAGATAGATTATATATACTGTAGGGTTAGTGTAGGATATAGCATGAGATTTGAGAGATTATTTTTTATCGTCGGATGAGTTATATCCGATGATGAAGGATAAGCAATATTAGAAGTGGTATTACTTATGAAGCACGGACACCTCTCTGGAGGTCGCGTATAGGTATCTGAAACATGTTGGACACGCTGGAAAGAGTTGGACACGTTGGGACACGCTAAGGACATGCAAGGGACACGTTGAGGTCAAGCTGGGGACACGCTAAGTACTATTTTTTTTTTTTTAAATTATAATTTTTAATTTTTTTACCAAAATAGCGTACCTATGGTTGATAAATTTGGTAAAATTAAATATTTGACATAAAACACATATTAAATATTTAAAAATATACATATAATAGAAATATAAAAATGTATGTTTTGAATGTGTCCTCCACGTGTCATGTCTTGAATTTTTTGAAAATTTACGTGTCTGCGAGTCCGTATCCGTATCCGTGTCCGTGCTTTTTAGGGTATTACATATCTCATCCTTTTGGGAATATAATATCTAGACTCCCTTATATCCTGAACCATATATCTTGAACCATACGTGGAAAGAGAGAACACACACACACACACACACACACACACACAAAAAATGTAGGCCTTGCCTAATAGAAAATCCGATTAACCTGCATATCCCTTTATATATCTCAATCAAACACAGCCCTAATATTTTCTGGTTACTCTGGGACGACCCAAATCCATGACCAAGTTCTGTGTGTGTGTGCGTGCGCATATGTGTGTGTGTGTTTGTTCATATTACAAAATGCTTAAGCCTACTGGGCATTTTACTCAATTCAGTTGAAACCTCCACACCTACGATCAACTGGATGAATCATTTTTCTCCTCCATTTATTTAGAACCTTAACATATGTTAGTTAGTGTAAAATTTCTGCAGTTTAGTCTGTTTGGTAATGGTTTTTATAAGTTTTTCAACTGGTTTGTTGGAGTCAACTATTTGGATGGCTTTGCATCAAAAGATATACTGTCAGAATAAGGAACTAGAGCAGTTGGTTGACATTTTCTTGAATATTAGATAGATGTTGGTAAGTGAGAATCATATAATTCCTGCATGGATTGAAAGGAGAATTCAATTTGGGGTCACTATCCAAAATATTGTTATAGACATTTTTAGACGGACTGTATAAGGGGGGATTGTAATCCATCGGACTATTAGTCCTGGGATATATTGTCCCGAGACTATTTGGTCGGACTAAATTTGTATCCTATGTTTGTTTAGTCATGGGATTAGATGTCTAGATTGGACTATTTTTAGTTATCTATTGTTTGCTTGGGATATTATGAAGAAGGATAAATGCTCAAATAACTATTTTATCCTTTTCAATTATTTACTAAGTAATAGCAATATTAAACATAGCTTTAATATTTTAATTATTTTTAACTAGATTAAATAAAAATTTGTTTTATTTTATTTTTTGCACAATATTTTAATTATTTTAATTTATTATTGTCAATTAAATTAAATTTATAATTTGGATAAATGTTCAAAAGACTATTTTACCCTTGTAATTTATAATTTTTATTTAATATATAATTTTAAATTTGTAATCTACAATTTATAATTTAACAACACTAAAAAAATTTAATTGATATGGCCATAATTTTTAATTTATTATTTTTAATTAAATTAAATTTATAATTTATAATTTTTTATTTAATATATAATTTTAAATTAACAACACTAAAAAAATAATTTAATTTAATATGTAAATTTAATTTTTTAACAACACTAAAAAAATTTAATTTATAAGGCCATAATTTATAATTTATTATTTTTAATTAAATTAAATTTATAATTTATAATTAAAATTTTTTATTTAATATATAATTTTTAATTAACAACACTAAAAAAATAATTTATAAATGTTCAAAAGACTATTTTATCATTTTTCTAATTGTTTGTTAAGTAATAGCATGGAGGGTAAAATTGACATTTCACAAAATAATTTCATGAGATACCAATCTCATGGTTTCTATCCCACCCTCTTCCATGGGATAGGATAGTCCCATATTTGTGGGACTAATTGTCCGGAGCAAAATTTTTCAAATAAACAATGGACTATTAGTCTGGTGAGACTAATAGTCCAATCTCACACCCTTATCCCTTAAAACAAACATGCTCAGAGTGGGGGTTATAGGCCCTAATGACTCCTGTGATTGAAAAGTGCGATCATGGAGCTCCTCTCTTTTCTGTTTATTCCTACGACTCATGATCAAATTTGATGAGGAAACTTGGATAGAGACACTTTTAGCAGTAATGATCTGAGGTCAAATTGTCTGATCGAATCCCTCATTATACCTGTCTTAAGTCACTTTCCTACATGATACATCTAGCCTAATTGTGTGGAGAAGATGAGGTTTAGGAGTGGTAGGCGGGAGTTGGTGACTGAAGATAGTTGTCGATGGTCATAAGATGTGATTTTTAGCAAGAGGTGATTGTTAGCTATAGGAGGTAGTAGTTGAAAGTGGTTGTCAATTGTCGAAGATGGTGGACTAAAGGTGTTTGCCACTAGTAGGAGGGTGGTTGTCGACTGGGAGAGGTGGTGGTTGAAGGTAATTGTTAATAGTTGTGACTAGTGTGGCCAACGGGTGGGAGAAAAATGAAAGAATCCATTTTTGTTTTTTGTTTTTTTGAGACAAAGTAAAACTATTTTTTTGAATAAACAGTTTACTAGTTTTGAAAACGAAAATGAACACTGAATAAGTTTTTGTTTATGATTTTTAAATTTTTATAATTATAAATATAAACATTAAATTGTCTAGTATTTTTTGTTTACAAAAGCATAAATTATGTTTTTTTTATGTTGAAAATAAAATAATTTGTTTTTGGTAAACATATTTTCTTAAAAATAAGGGAGGCGTGAAAAAATGAGGAAGTCAAATTGCTTGACAAACAAAGAAAAACATATTTGGGAACATCAAATATTTTTTTTTTTTTTGGCCTTTTTGAAATTTTTTGAAACATAAAAATAAAAATGTAAGTAGCAAATGGGGTCTACTTTTTGAAGAAAAACTTGACAATTGAGGAATTTGTTTTTTTAACGAAAAAAATGGAAGCTCTATAGAAGTATCAGAGCTTTCATATTTTTTAATTTTAATGTAATCGGTTGACAATAAGATTTAATTCCATTCAAAAAAATGGTCTTCATCGAGATAACAGTAAGGTCTATATTTATTTTATAACAAAGGTCTTACAATAAGAATACAACGCGATCTTTTAAAAAAAATGACATCGCTCAATTATCAAACTCAAATATCTAATATAAAAAAAGAGCCAAACTCCACCGGATTGGACCACCACCCCCGGTGGTAATAGTCGACGAATGGGACAGGCATTTACGCTGTGTTTGGTTGGGGGATTTAGGAAGGGAAATGGAAAGGGAAATGGAAATGAAAGGAAAAGGAGAAAGAATTAATAGAATTTCAAATCCCAACTATGTTTGGTTGTGTTGGTTATAAAATAGAATTGATGTCCTAAAAGGTATCCTATTTCTTTATTTATTTCTCACCCCCTTTCTTTTCCCATATATTTTTTATTATAACCAAACATAAATAGGATTACATTTCTCATTCCTTTTCCAAATCCCACCTCAAAAACTCCAACCAAACACAGCATTAAGCAATGTAACATTGGAGATAGGAAAATCCCATAGATGTCATGCAATCAAGATATATGTCACAAGATTCCGATTGAACACAGCCCAAGCAAACAAATTGATTGTAGTATATATATTTTTAATTAATCACTATCTTTAACTCAAAAATAAATAAATGATCACAATAATGTACACACGTCATCATCATTCACAATTTACTACACATTTGCATAGTCTTAGACGTAGACAGGGAATAAATTACAAACTAATTGATTGTAGTACAATATAATTTTAATTAATCAGAATCTTTAACTCAAAAATAAATAATAATAATATTTGATAGTTCGAATTTTCATAATCTGAATAGCTCGAATGTCTTAAAACAACGTCATTTTGGGAATAAAACAACGTTGTTTTGATACATTCAAACTATTCAGATTACATAAATTCGAATTACCAAACATTTTTCAATAAATAAATGATCGAGATACACACGCCATTGTCATTCACATTTTACTACACATTTGCAAAGTTTTAGACGTAGACAGGGAATAAATTACAATTTAATGGTAAGTTCTTAAAATAATTACAAATTTATAAAATAAATTAAAATTTTACCCCCTGTAATTTTTTTTTTCAAACTTACATTGTATTGTTATTTCCCGTAAAATATTTATTACCTCCATAGAAGGAATAAAAGAACAGATTTTTTAGATTATATGTTTACAAGATTTTTATACAAAATTTAAAATAAGAATAATATGATAATACTATCATATTATTTGAGAAATTATGAAGACAATAATAAATGTTTTCATTATAAATGAAATAATTACAAAATGTTACAACATTTTATATAAAAATTTTGTACTCCATAAATTATATTTGTATGTTATTTCTCTTTTTCTTAACAGATGGCTTTAACGGGCATTTTTTAGACTCTGATTTTTTTAATAATGTTTTATGTATAAACTTATATTAATGATTTAAAGGTGGTTTAAAGGGAAAATATCATTTCAATGGAATTTGAGAGAAATAATTGCATATTAGTGAAAAACTTTATAACAGTAAGAAAATAAATTTATAAACTTTTCTATCAAATTGAGATTATTTTATGAAATTTCCACTAAAATGTTATTTTCCCTGATTTTAATCCTGAAATCAGCTAATTGATTGTGTTTTCAAATTTAAACTATCATTATATATAACATTAAATTAAATCAATACAATTATGACACATTGCTAATTTTTTTAAAAAAAATGAAGCGTGTGATAGAATTAACCAATCTTATCTTACCATTTTTTTTTACCGATCATGCCTTATTCAGGCTTCGTTTGGGAAGCCATGGTTTGGGCATTTTTGGTTATTTTAGCCACAAAAAATAAAATAGGCTATTTTAGCCATAACAAACAAAACATCACATCCAACCCATAATCATTACATTCTTCTCTCACAAAAAAAATTCAAAAAAGTCAAAAAGCCAAAAAATCCTTCCCAAACCAAGCTTTTAAGCCCAGACTAAAATAGCCAAAAAAGCCAAAAAGCCAAAAAGCCAACCCACATCCCAAACGGAGGCTCAGTTTTTAAAATTTTATTATTAAATGACATCAATTATTATTAAAAAAAAAAAGTTATACATTTGCTAACAAGATCCAAAGGGAAATTAAACATGATTGTTAAAACTAAAATCAATATAATTATTATACAATGCACCTACAAACATTGGAATAAACCTTTCTTTTTTTCATCTACTACAAGACTCTCTTTCTCTCACTATGATGATGATGGAATACAGAACCAAAACCACATTGTAATTGCAAAGATTCTCTCTCTTCTCTCTCTCTTTCACATACAAAAAGAAACATAGAAATAGAGTGAATGTGAAGCAAAGCATCATTCACACCCATTTCACTTTTCCGGCGACTCAGCCACCGCCGGCGGCGGTGGTCGCCGCCTTGTTGACCAGCCACGGAAAAGTCAAACTCGCCGGAAAATCATCTGGGTAGCAATCACCGGTGAGTTCTTCCAAACCCTCGAAGAAATCATCAGTGATTACCATATCAGAGACCCCAAACTCATCATCTTCATCTTCTCTCTCTTCCATCTTTTCAGTCACCGGAGAGAGGCTCGCGGCCGGAGAAACCGGAGGGGAGGAGGAAGAAGAGGGTTTGGTTGCGTCACCGGCTGTGACGGTTTGAGGGGTGACCGGCTTCTGACGTGTACTTCCGGCGAGTGAGTTCCGGTGAGTCGGCATAGGGTGGTTGTGCTCGCCGGTGTAGGTGAGGATGAACATTCCCGGGTCGGATCTGTTTCGCTCCACTTGTTTTCGGGCCGAACAACCTTTTGAAGTACTACATCTGTAATATCCTCTGTAAAAAAAACAAAAAACAAAAACAAGAAAACAAGCTTGTTTATAAGCCTCAAGACATAAATAATTTTGTTTTTGTTTTTTAAAAGCAATAATTTAATGAAAAAGCACAAGAACTATTTTCACAACATCTTTCTTGCTTTTAAGATCCAAAACCAATGCAATTTTTGCTTTCAAAAGCAAAGGAAGTACATCAAAAATGTCAAGCAATGCAATTTTTTTTTTTTTTTTTTTTTTTGCCTTTGAAAGCAAAAATTGAAGCATACTTTTGATATCCCAAAGCAAGAGAGTGAAATTACATTGAAAATGCACAAGGAAGTGGTTAAAAAACTGAAAACCCACCTTGGATATGGAGAGCCTTTGATGGGTTTTTGCCCATATTTCCTCCAAGACCACGTGTCAGAAGATAACCCCTCAGCTGGTACTTGACAAACCCTCTTCGACTGGTTCTTCCTGTGAAAAAACAAAAACAAACCCATCATCAAAATGAGAACAGTTTTTACCAAATGGGTATCTCCCAAAAACAATAACAAACAGACAAAAACAAAAATTAACTCAAGCTAGCTCAGCTAGTTAAAACTGCCAAATATTGGGCAAAACTTCCAATTTATTAAAATAAAATAAAAACAAAAAGCAAAAACAGAGATGGGTATGTGCCAAATTGTTTTATGTTTTCATCCCAAAAAAAAAAAAAGAAAAAAAGTTGGTTTTTTTTCTTGAAAGATAATTTTTGGAAACAATTTGGCAAGTTATTTTTTTTTTTTTTTTTTTTTGTCTAACCAAAAACAAAAACAAAAACACAATCAAACAAAGTTGAATCTGTGTAGTATTAGAAACAACAAAAATCAAGATGAATTTACCTTCTTTTAGACCTTGGGGTATGTGAAGTAGTAGTAGAACTAACAGAGGTACAACTAGTTCTAGCACCAGAAACACTCTGTTTTAGCTTTTGTTTTTCTTCTTGTAGTTGTTGCTGTTGTGGTGGTGCTGGTAGATCTCGCAATCCTCCAAGAACAGAGAGGGGAGAGATCGGTGTATTTTGAGGAGATAGAAGAGTTTGTGATTTGGGAAAGAAGGGTTTAAACACATCATGTAAGTCTATACCATTCTCAGCAATTCTTGATTCAAATGGATCTGGAAAGAATATAAACTGATCATCACCATCATTAGCTCGTGGTTGATAGCTGCAAGAAGACGTGGTGGTCGCTGTTGTTGTTGTGGTGGTGGTGGTGGTGGAGGAAGTGGTGGCGCAGCCTCTGACCACTGCGTGGAGATCCCAATCGTCTTCCATTCTCTACTTTGAGCTCTAGAGAGAGAAGGGGACAGAGGATGGCGCTGACTTTTTGAGATGAGAGAGAGAGAGATGGGAATGAGTGGAGGGCAATAATTATTTATAGAGGGAGAAAGAGAGAGAGGGAGAGAGTGGAGAGTTGGCATTATCAACGACGCTTATCTTTTTCCTTTGTTTTTTTTTTAAAAAAAAATTATATTTTTAATGTCTCTCTAGAACTCTGTGCTTTTGATTTTTGGGGGTTGACAAATGAAAATGTCAAAGGGGGTGGTGGGCACAGCTATAAAAAGTCCACACGGTGTGTTTGTGTTTCTCTCTCTCTCTAAGAATAAAACTATATATTATTATGTATGTATGTCTCTCTCCCTCTCTAAGCTTTTGTTTGGGAACTTGGTTTGGGGCTAAAATAGCCACAAAAAACAAAATAGGCTATTTTAGCCACAAAAAACAAAACATCAAATCCAACCCATAATCATTACAATCTTCTCTCACAAAAAAAGTCAAAAAAACCAAAAAGCCAAAAAGCCCTTCCCAAACCAGGCTAAAATAGCCCAGGCTAAAATAGCCAAAAAATCAAAAAGTCAAAAAGCCAACCCACTTCCCAAACCAACCCTAAGTGGATTAAGAAACAAATCAATGTATACACAATAATGAAATATTTGTTTGATATATATATATATATATATATTGTTTTACCTTTACAATACAGTGATTGGAGGGTGTGAATAGACGCAAACCTCGCGCGCGTGCTTTTTGCGTCATGTTTCACACACAAATAAATTAGGGAATATTAGGATTCGTTTGGGAAAAAACAAATTCTGATTTTTTAGTTTTTTTTTTTTTGGGTGACTAATCTAACTAATTTAGTTTTGTTTGAAAGAAGTTTTTTGATTTTTTTTTTGTAAAATAAAAAATAAAATGATTATAATTTTGATGTAACATTTTATTTTATTAACTTATTTAGTTTATTTTGTCATTTTTTTTTTGACACTTTTTTAATCCTAACTTACTTACCAAACCGCAACTAAAAAAAACAATTTCATTTTATCCACCAAAAATCAAGACATTCAAATTGCCCGAATGAGATGGAGAGTGTTGCTGGTGCATTTTGCCCAGTTGCTCCAAAAATACATAGTCTTCATGCGCTAAAAAAAAAAAAAAAAAGGCATTGAATCAAAAAAGTTGCTACCTCTCTCTTACTCGACCTCGCTATTTCTCTATCACCAATAGGCAAATTTGTTTCTCTTTCTCACCAACGACTAGGGCTGCAAACAAGTTGAACTCGAGCTCGAGCTCGAGCTCGAACTTGGTTCGTTAAGTAATTGAGCTCGATTGAGCTCAATAATTTTTTTTTAATATTATTTATATTATTTAAATAAAAATATTATTAATATTATTTAATATATAAATAATATATTTTAACTATTATATATATATTATATAATTTAAATAAAGACAAATGAGCCGAGTTTATTTGAGCTCAAGCTCGGCTCGTTAACTCAACAAGCTGAGTTGAGCTTGTTCATGAACAGTTCGGTTCATTTGCAGCTCTATTGACGACCACTGATCACCACTCTCTCTCTCTCTCTCTCTCTCTCTCAACTCAAAGATTTCTAGGTCTAACTCTGTTGTGGGTATTTCAAGGATGAATTTATTTCTTAACCGTTGAATTTGTTTCTTCGACAATTTCAGGGAAGATTTCAAGACAAATTTGGCACAAAAAAAAGGGAGAATCACTCTACATCTTCTTGTAGAAAAATTCAAGCATGTAATAGTAAGTTCACAAATCCACTTGTTGTAAATTGGTGTGGTCTTCATTTAATTAGTTGAGTTTTCCTAATGCCTTTCCCATTTCATTGGATATATATGTGATACAATAAATTCCGCAAATTGTAGCTTCTTGTAATTTAGGAAATATGTTGATTTGGTTTGATGAGGTTGAAGTAACCAATCTTTGGCGTTGATTTTAGAGAGAGAGAGAGAGAGAGAGAGAGAGAGATGAAACTACCAGCTTTAGAAGGAGAAGAAGAGGGCTTTCGATGTGTGGTGAGGAGGCACCAGATTGATGAAGACAATGCAGCGAGAAGGGCTCTGGTAGTTTGAGAAGACGATGTGGTGATGAAATGAAGCTGATTGAGAAAAAAAGCGAAGAGAAGAGAGAAAGGGTTTGTTGCGTTTGAGAAGAAGAGATAAGAGAGGTTTTGAGCGTTTCAGAGATATGAGGTGGCTTGTTAGGGTTTTGACAATATATATATATATATATATAAGAAGGGTATTTTGATTTTTTTTATATCAATTTGTACTTATAAACAAAACATTTTTATGCCTAAACCTTTGGTTAAAAAAAATTTAATTTTTGACTTTTAACCTGAGCTCCTTATAATTTTTTATTTTATTTTATTTTTTTATGTCTTGAAACACACATGTTAACCGGATCCCTTAAAAAAATATTATCAACATTTTTATCTTATAAAACTTAAAATTATTATATTAATATAGTTTAGAAGAGTGATACTAGCGAAAGCCACAAAATGAAATAATGGGTTCAGACTCGCATTAGCCAACAGTAATTCTAATATCGTCGATCAGAGATCATCAAACTTGGATCCAATTTCAACGGTTCACCGTCTCGCGTGAGTTTCGCTCTCTCGTTTGTAGGTGTGGAAGTCAAACTAATTACCCACGGCTTTGCTCTCAAATGGCGGCAATATTGCCACGACAATGATTTAGATCATTAAAAAATATACTATTAATAATATTAGGGCATGTTTGATTGGAAGGATTAAAACATAGGATTGAGATTATTAATCCGTGGGCCCAATCATCCTATGTTTGTTTTGACATTTTGGTTTAGGATTATTAATCCAATGGATAATTAATCCAACAAATTTGTAGGATTATTAGTAATGGGGTAGGGGTGGGATAACTAATACCACACTAATTTAATAGGATTATTAATACCTCATTATTAGTGTTGTGAATCAAACATGACCTTAATGTATTAGAAATGACAATAAAAAAATAAAAATAATAATAAAAAGAATAAAGCATAGAAAGTGGGCAAGAGCCAACTGTCACACCATTAGTACTCCTCTTAATACTCTCTTTTTAGTACTCTCAACCATTTTTCATATTGCCAACTCCACCCTCTTACACACGTGACCTGGACGTGCAAACAAGCACTTTTAAAAATAATAATAAAAAGAACAAGGCATAGAAAATGGGTAAGAGCCAACTGTCACACCATTAGTACTCCTCTTAATACTCTCTTTTTAGTACTCTCAAACATTTTTCATATTGCCAACTCCACCCTCTTACACACGTGACCTGGACGTGCAAACAAGCACTTTCATGTCACAATGCAAAAGTTTTTTTTTTTACTATTTTAATTATAAAAAAATAAAATAAATTAAAAACATTAAGAAGATAAAATTCCAAACCAAACCAAACCAAACCAAGCCTTAAATCCCATCAAATGGGGTCGGCTACATGAATCATTCTTCTCCACGCGGCCCTATCAAAGGCCATTTCATTAGTCAAATTAAGTAGATTCATATCTCTATTTATAACGCTAGTCAACGTTAATCTAGGCCTACCCCGTCCCCTAACACTTCCATCTACCGTTACAGCATCGCATCTCTTCACTACTGCCTCTGTTGGTCTCCGTTGAATATGACCAAACCATCTCAAACGATTCTCTCTCAACTTATTTTCTATCAGTGCTACTCCTACCCATTCCCGAATAGACTTATTCCTAATCCTGTCCTGTCTAGTCTTACTACATATTCACCTTAGCATCCTCATCTCAACCACACTCATCTTATCTACATGATGTTTCTTAGTTGCCCAACACTCCGTCCCATACAACATAGCTGGTCTAATAGCCGTTCTATAAAACTTACCTTTTAGTCTAGTGGGCATTCGTTTATCGCACAATACCCCAGACGCACTTCTCCACTTATACCATCCCGCCTTAATCCTATGGGCCACATCTGCATCAATCTCTCCAACTGTTGTGATAATCGACCTTAAATAACGAAAATGTTCACTCTTAGGTAGTTCTTGATTCTCAATCTTCAATTCTCCTCTACTTTCATTGTTCCTGTTACTAAATTTACACTCCATGTACTCTGTCTTAGTTCTGCTTATCCGAAATCCTTTAGATTCAAAAGCTTTTCTCTAAATCTCCAACTTTGTGTTAACTCCTTCTCTAGTCTCATCTACTAACACAATATCGTCTGCAAAAAGCATACACCATGGCACGTCACCCTGAATATTTATCGTCAACTCGTCAATAACTAAAGCAAAAAGATAAGGACTTAAGGTAGATCCTTGGTGTAACCCTACAGTGATAGGAAATTCATTTGTTTCTCTAGCTGGCGATCTAATGGTGGTCACCACCCCTTTATACATGTCCCTAATCATGTCAATGTAGCCTTTTGTCACCCCTTTCTTCTCTAACGCCCACCATATTATATCTCGGGACACTCTGTCATATGCTTTCTCAAGGTCGATAAACACCATATGAATGCCTCTTTTCTTTTCTTTATACTTTTCTATTACTCTCCTCAAAAGATAGATCACTTCCATTGTTGACCTACCAGGCATAAACCCAAATCATTAAGAAGATAAAATATTATATTTAAATTATAATTATTTTATTTTATTTTTTTCTCACAAAAATAAAAAAAGGTTAAAAAGTCTATCACAAATAAGATTTTTTAATCCTAAACTAAAATCGTTAAAAAGACAAAAAAAATTAACGAGTTGTTTGGCAATGACTTTTTTTTTAGTTAGTTTTTTGATTTTTTTGATTCTTTTAACTTGTGACTTTTTTTTATTTATTTGGTTTTCTTATTTAATTTTTTTGACTTTTTTTTTTATTTTTTTGTGATTATTTAATCAAAAATCAAAACTAAACCCAAATCAAACCGGGGACTAAAAAACTTATCCGCGTCCCAGACGAAAGTTTAGAAAAAATAATGCTAGTAACGCAAAAATCAAAACAATATTCTTTCACCCGGGCGCTAATTTTATTTTGTGGATTTCATTATGGGCGAACAAAATGAAATTTTAAATGGTTCATTTTGT